GGGAGGTCTGGGCCTCCCTTCTGAAGCTGCTGCCCCCGCGACCCGACCCCGGATAGGCGGAAGAAAATGGATGGATGGATGGATGGATGGAAAGTTGGGGCGGACCGCCGCTTACAATAACTTTTAGCCTACTATGTCTCCTAATAGAAACAAAAACAGAAAATCACATTTTCCCTCAGCAGTTTAAGCATATTTAAACTACCTACAGTACACTCACCTAAGACGAACAATGTCATCTTGGCTACATTAAAACAGAAAGCTAAGCTCCCTGTTTTGACTCGATATGGAATGAAACGCTCCCAAATATACCTCGGCTAAGATCAGAACAACCGCAGAAGCGACCAGACGAGCGTCTAACAATTACAATTTCAATGTGTATGGGCCGAAAAATTAGGAGTAGCTTTAGCATAAGGTGCTAATGAAAATGTTAGCTTACCGTGTTTCTGTCACTGACAGGTTCTTTTTCAGCTCCAGTCCCAAAAGGTTACCCACAGCGGCCGAAGTAAGGACAGATCACAAACCCGGACACGATCAGCAGAGAGGGACAGGTCAGCTTCCTCAGAGAAAAAAAACCTTCATTTCCCCATTTTCGGGTGGACGTCCAAGAAAAAGTCGACACACTGCGGGCAACTTTCCGGTCCTTGGAGCTGCCCTTCGACAATGCCAAAATCTGTCGTGGTAAGATTTACCCAAAATGCAGAAACACGTTGGAATAAATGCACAGAAATTCTGTGTGTATGGTCATCAAAATGATTTAATTCTGAGCAACAACACAGCGGACAGTCAATCAGGAAATCTGCTGAGTTGTGACTGGCGCGTCAGCGGAAAGCAGCCAATAATATAATATCATGATAACATCATGTGACAGTTTACAACCAATCCCAAATCACCAACCGTAACCATCTAACTGTAGCAGAATGGGTGTTACCTGTAACAAGTTTACTGAGCAGGTAAATTGGTTGGCCAATCACCAGAAGGGGGTGCCCTACTTAAGTGAGTCAGTTTCCTTACTGTGACCTTTCACTGAACTTCCGGGTTACCAGTGCCACGGCATGACGCTGGTTTAATTGATTTACTCTGTCAGAGTACGGTTTTCTAAGAAAGCGAAGGAGAAGTTTGCAGCCRGACTGTTTATTAATGAACTTATTGGCTTGGTGAGTACAGTCATGGTTGAAGGTGGCAGATTTTGGGATCTTTGGAGTTAACTGGTGGGTTTTTTTCTGTTCAGTTGAGGAAAAAGTTTGTCTGCTCGACGTAGGACACAAGTGCCTCCTCCTCCTCCTCCTGATGGTATGCGTTTTATTAAACAGTTTATTTTTAGTTTAGTATGTTTGTTTGTTTTATATTGGTCTTTGCATCTGTGTGTGCGATAGACGGGGCTTCATGCAACAAGGGTGAGGTTGTCTTCCTCCCCTCACATGCGTTCAATTAGTAGCGTGGTATGTATGCGCCCTCCTCCTGTGATAATTTTTTTGTATATTATTATTGTCAGTTTTTTTTTAAAATGCAAATTTCTTGCAGGAAAGAGAGCCCAGTCTACGGACACCTGCTGTTTTGCTTGCTTGTTTTATTCAGTTTTTTTTCTATTATTAATTCACTCACCTGGTCCTTGCATCTGACTTCTTGATGCTCAGCCGGGTCCACAAGTTTCCTTGTTCAGCAGCATTTTCGCCTCCGAATCCAATGGAAGCTGATTTCGAGACCAGGCCCTTCTAGTTATTTTTTTTCTTGTTTGTTTACTTGTTCATTAGGCCTGTTTAATTTCATTGGTATTATTTTTTTCCTTTTTCATTATTTTTGTTTTATTATTTTGTTCTCTTTTGTTGCAGGCTGAGAGCTGACTGGGGCGGTCTTATGTTCGGTGGTGGTTCCCTGGGTGTGACGGGCCCTGTTCACTCCTTGTATTGTGGAGCACTGTTTGGGTGATTTGGTTTGTGTGTCTATTTGTCTGTTTTTTTTTTTGACCGTCACTAGGACGCCTCAGCCTGAATGATGTAAATTTTTAAAACTTGCCTCAGACGTGTGTTTTAGCAGTTGTTGTAATTAATTCATATTTTTAATTTTGGAACACAGTCTCTGTAATCTGTAGAAACAACCTAAGTGCCTTGTTTTGAGTTTTATTCTTGGGGTGGAAGTCCCAGGTGGTGTTGTTGAAACTTAAAAACTTTTCTAAAACTCTCCAAGTTGCCACATAATCAATGACAGGACTGTCATCCTGGAAACACCTTATCAGAAATTAAAGCGGTCACACATTGCTGGAGTCTTGAAGTCTGGCCTATCAGTAAAACAGCCGAAACTGGTTTTAATAAGATAGGATTACTGGACAGTGTCAAGATAGAACAGATATACATAATTAATCCATAACACTGCCAAAGCTGTAATGTTTGCAAAATGGCACAGCTTTTCCCACTGAAAGGCCCTCACCCCACACCACAGCATAGCAAGTCATTAAGTGCATGTGCCAGTGCATAGACAGCCTTGTAAATGTTGTACTCTGGCCTGAGTTCTGACATATCCAACAGGTCAGTCTTTATATTCTTTAGGTCCTCTTTTTCTCAGTTTTCCCTTTTATGTATCTATGCAAGTAACTTATCAGCTCTGCTGCACATCTCTGTAAGACTAAACAAATTTGCAGCCTCAGCTTCACACATGTAGTGGGGGAAAAACCATAGGAAGAACTGATGACATCATCACCCTCACACACATACACAC